GATGTTTGACAGATTGACGGACATATGAATAAGGGATCTACACTAGCAACTCATCGTGCCTAACAGATTAAACAGAATTAAACATTGTTCAGTAATGAAAGATGTGTTTTAATATTTCTTATTTCAATGTACTTTTCCTCCCATGATATCCTGAAACTATTATTTGTATAATCACACGACTCTGTGTTGTGAAAGGAACCCAAGGGCTTGGTCTCAAGTTTCCTTTGGCAATGGTGTAAGAAAAGTCCCCAGTGGTAGAAGGTCAATTGGTGGAGACAATGCCAGGGACTCTAATGTCAGTGGATGCTCTAGGGCTATTGCACCTGAATCTTCAACTGGCTCTTGTTTTCCAAGAGGAAAATTCATGGGAGAATTTGAAACTAGTACTAAATCCTTAAAAACAAATTGAACATTGTAGAAGTGTTAAAAGATGGAAATCTTCTTTCCTTCCAAAAATTAGTCATCTCACAGTAGAACTTTCTCTTTCAATTTGTAAAAGATTTTATAGAATGAGAAATGTGGTTTGTGCTATTCTGGGAATTCTATAAGGAAAGAAGGTGGTTAACCACTGTGGCGTCTAAATCTAAGAGAAGGCTCAGTAATATTGTACTTTTCAAAGAATAAAGGAAGATTATTTTAAATCATTAGAGAATCTTTTCTTGGTTATTGAAACAAGAAATACCAGATTCAAAAAAAATTTATTCATCACAGGCAGACATTATCTCAAAAAAACAAATGCCATGCCAAAGTTTCTAAATGCTCCTCCGTATATAGCAACCTTTCTGTCATTTGTAGACAAGATCTGATTCAGAAAATTTAATTCTGTTTCTAAAGCGTTGTGAACATCAGAAAAAAATTACCACCAGTATCAACTCAAAGAGATGGAAGGGTTTTTTTTTTTTCTTTTTTACTATGCCAACATAACTAATTCATTAAATGATGACTCTTTTTTAAAAAAAGAGCTAAGTAAATAAACACATGTCCCTTGTTAAACATCTAATGGGTATATATAACAATAGCAAGTAAATTTCTTATGTTCTCAAGTTGTTTTGGTGTTACAATTCAGCTAATATGTATATAGAGAAAAGCATACACAGGAAAATAATCTGCATTGTTTTACTCTCTTATTTACCTTATATATGACACAGAGGGCTATAGGGTAAAGGGAAGATGTGAGGTTTTACATATAGCAAAAGAAAAAAAGAGATTTGACAACACTGAACCTCAGTAGGCAAGGACAATTTGTCAGTATCTTCAGGTCTCCAGAGAGCAACATGAATGACTCTCAGGATATTGCAACTCTGTCTGCTTCCACCAGAGATCATAATTGGGCTATGAATTTTTATAACAGGAAAGTCTTCCTGTCAAAGACAGAGACTGACGCAAAGTTCAGTTCACTTAATACTGAAAGAATCTCAGAACAGAATGAGTAATATACACGAGTATCACTTACACATATAGTGCCTTTACTTCTTTCTTCTTTTTTTCTTAAAAAGTAAATGCCTGTTATAGTTTACTGGTTAGAGCTTCTAAAATGTAGCTTGTTTCTGAGGATTGCTCACCATACTGGTTTTCTGCCCAAGGAGATGATACGCACTTTGGGGAATTCAAAAGCCAATTGAGGTGAGTAGAGGTCATTTGTAAATCGAAACCAAGTGGTAGCAGAAGATGTGAACTAAAGCTATTTCTTCATCTGCAAAGAGCTAATTGGGCACATTTCAGGCCAAGTCTCTGAAGACACAGCTCGTGAACTCTGTCTTCTTGATGCTGTGCTCATTATAGATACTCAGTAGAGGACTACCTAATGCTAGGGAATTCCCCATCAAGGTGGCCTTTACATGACACTGCAGATTTATCTCACAAAGGAGAGCAAAGAGAAGGAAAATGCAGTGAGGGATTCCAGGCAACTAGCTGCTTACGGAATACTATTTGCCTTGTCTAATTTATCTGAAACTGAAGGGTTTGTCTCTAATGGATATCCTACTTCACAAAATCTCAAGGGACGTTTGTCTTTCTGACATATCCGTTGTTAGCCAGGCCTTACTTCTTACTTGACTGTTGTTAGAGTCAATTTTGGTTCTTTGGTCCTGTGTCTGCTATTTGAGGTGGAAGATTGAATACTGCATAGATGACCTGTGTATGTCTGGAACAACCTAATTTTGCCACTGATAACAAAACACTATAAGCATAATCTTGAATTAAATTATTATCTAAACCTCAGAACCTGTCCTCAATTATCCACCTTAATAGTTCTAAGTAAAGAGAGATGTATTGGCATCCTGTTTTTAAAGAGTAAAATGTCAAGAGAAAGAAAGACATTATAGATATTCACAATGTTGTATGTGAGGAAGTTTTTGAATGACTTCAGAAACCCAAATGAATATATTGAGGAAGCAGCATTGTGAGTTCTGTCCACATGTGAACCTAAAACTAGGATTTGAGGCAATATATTTCCAGAAGAAACTGATGGAGTTTGAATCCTAGGAAATCTTCCCGAATAAAATGACCATGTGTTGTAAGGTTTAGATATTTATAACCCAAAATAAAAGGAATTTTGTTAGGTGATTTCTACAGTTTTTTTTTTTTTCAGTTATGAGAGTCTGATTTCTTTCCATGAAAAGGGTAGGAAAATTTCTTTTGCTGTTATAATGAATGTTATAAAATGTATACTTGTCCATGAATTATCTGATCAAAGATAACACATAAAAAGTACTCAAAATATTCTGTAAGTCTTTTTTTCAAATTCTCTTTAAATAGATTTTTGTATTCAGAAATACTTTGTAAATATTTTAAAATTCAGATTTCTGAATTCTAAACATATTATTAAGACAAAATAGTGACTATATATGTATGTAAAATAGAGGGCACTGGAAAATGTGGTGGACGGTAAGGGCCTTTTGTGAGGTAACTATCTATGGATTTTTTTTTTTATTTCCTAAGTACTTAATTGACTCTCCCACTAAAATTTAAACATGTACAAATAATTTGTCATTCAGAGAATAGTCGTTTGATTTATAACATCAACATATTATCATAAAAATTTAGAGAATGAGATCTTAATGGGCACCTGGTCTAAGCATTTTAATTTTACCAGGTAAAATCATGGAAGCAAGAGATAAGTGACTTCACTGTGTCCTATACCTCCACGCTCTAACGGAGCAGCGATACCAGCCAATTGACATCTAGTTAGGTACAGAACCCTCATATCTACACCACATTAAGCTTATATATACTTTAGTAGTTTTAAAAATTTGTAGACATTTGATTATAAATGGATATTTTGCACTTTTTCTTTAAAAATAACATCATTAGAAACCATATAAAACAGAGCTGCAAATATTCCCTTATAAGGTGTAAGGTATTCCTTCATTTCTTCTTTGGACATTAGAATTTTTTCTTTGGTAAGAAATTAAATTGAAAATGAAGTAGAAGACCTTACACTGTCATTCAATTGCAATACATTTTTTAAAAAAGGATTTATGTTGGGAAAATCTGTTTACCTGTGATTAAGTTTTAATCAGTGCCCTTAACCTACACCTTAACAGCTAAAAATGTTCTTAGCTTGACAAAATAACAACCCATCCCCAAAGACAAAGACTTAAATCAAAGAAGCATTTTTTAATGAAAAAAGAATTCACACACGTATGCACCCCCAATACATGAAACATATGATAATGTATGTCTCTATTTTTAACAAAGTGAACTTTATACTGAATTCAGAACATATATTCAAGTTCAATAGTTGAACTCAATCAAATAAGTAATCTCATATAAAAGGATAGCTCCCTCTAGCATATACTTATCCCATATGACAGACATCTCTGTAGTAAAGTAAATTCCTTCAACTCTAGCAGATTGTCCAAAATGGAAACATAATGAAAGGGTGCATATACTCAAATAATCAACAGAAGAGATAACTATAAAGAGGGAAACATTTTCTGAATACAGTAGACCCCCTCCATCCAAAAAAATTACATCTGAGGGACTATCTAGATTGTCAGAATTACTGGATAAACTGCCCAGTAGCTATTACACTGATGTTTCATTTGTTAAAAATATTTGCTTTATGCTTTTGAAACTTGCAAAGTTATTCCCAGCAAAATGTTATTTCTCCTGAAACAGAATAAATAGGTCATTCACAATATGCACTGGAATACATATTTTTGAAAAGCAAGATCTCCACTCACCCCTAATTCGATCTTTCTGCTGGTGATTACTGATATATTTATGTTAAAATATATACCTTATAAAAACTGTTGTTACAATTACGACTTGAGACAACATTATAATTCATGTTTTGGAAACTACTAAGGCAGGAGGACAGCTCCTACCCTTTCAGTGAAAGACTTTCAGTTAACAGGTGATTAATTAATGAACTAAGTGGCTAAAAGAAGGGAGCCAGTCCTTAGCCAATAAAGCCCTACTCAGTGCTACTCTACTCCCCCGCATTCTCTGTCCCCTCGGCTGAAACTGTCTTGTGCTGACTCCATTAACATCTAAATAGTCAACTCACTCCTGCCATTTCTCTGGTGAGCAATCTCCTACATCCTGTGCCTGAGACTTTGAGACTGCTTATGGTCCATAGGCCTTAGGTGCCCCAGGGAAAGCCACGTGCTAGTGCATCTGGATAAACAGTGGACTTTGTCTATCCACATGAATTCAACTTCCCAAGAGCTACACTGACTCATTGATTTGTGTCCAGGCTCCAGGTTCCCAATTCCCACACAACATAAACTCCCTGCAGCCAGGGAATTTGGTAGGTTTGACTTGTGTAGTCTCTTTCCCCTGCCACCCTCCGTCTGAGCCTCACAGTGTGTTGGCACGTGGTAGATGTTCAGTAAACCTACTTTGAGTGGGAAAGGGTTATGTTGAAGGAAGGAAAGGCAGGGAGGACTTAAGATTTGAAGGTTTTCCTGCATTTGTCCAGGAAGAAAGAAAAAGAAAAAAAAAAAGTGAGTGTCAGATTCTTATCATCATTACAGTTATTGTTTTTAACCAACCTTTAGGAATTCCACTGGCATTACCCAGGCAGCTGGTAGGAGAATCTGGGCTGGACACTAAAGGATGTCCATTGCCCCAAATCGGAAGGTGCAGAACCTCAGATCACAATCTGAGACAACCCCTCCGGTCCCGACAGGTGTTGCCCGCCTCCCTGATGGCTCCGGGCCCCCAGTCCCCGACTGCCCCTGCCTTTTGGGGCGCTGGAGCATGCCCAGTGGCAGAGCTGGAGCCACTGAGGGCTTTGCACGGGCGCACTCCGCTTCTCCGGGTTTTAGCAGAAGCCCGCGGGGGGCGGGGGGTTGTGTGTGTAGGGGGGTAACCGTGGAACCTGGCAGCCTTGGGCGCGGGAGTGGGGAGCTCTGGCACCGTGCAGGGCTCTCTCCCGTGTTGCGGTTGCTTGGGAGATGCTGGAGCGCGGCACCCGGCTGCTCCACCTGGCGCGCTGAGCACCGCGCGGGGAGCTCCCGGGGCCGGGCGGCGGGGGGGGGGGGGGGGGGCGGACTGCGGTAGAATGCCAGCGGGGCTCCTACTGCGCTGGGAGACATCGCTCCAGCTCGGTCAGGTGCCGGGGGCCCGCAGCTTGCCGCTCCACTAACTTGCCACTTGGTCGTGTCTGGTCTCCCAGGCTTGCTTTGCTTTCGGGTGGTGGGGGGCGGGGAGAGTGTGGACTTAGAGGGTCTGCGGTAGCCGAAAGAGGGATCCTGCGAGGGGAAGCCTGCCTGGTGCCTCTCTTCTTCCCCTCCCTGTCGCTCCCCTCCCCCCACCCCGTCGCTGCCGCTTTCCCTTCCTCCGATTCCGAGAGCGACGGGCGCCTGTGACATGCGATCACTGCCAAGTGACGGTCTCCGAGTCTGAAGTGCCCGCGAGGAAGTGAGCGCCAACGCGGGCCGCTGGCAATGACAGCCATGAAGCAGGAACAGCAGCCCACCCCTGGGGCCAGGGCTAGCCAGGCGCAGCCAGCGGAGCAGGTGAGAGTTGGCACTGCGGCCAGTCCCTCCCGGGAGGGGTGGCTCCCATCAGCGCTCCCCAGTCTCTCCTCCCAGGCTGGGCTCCCACGCCTCCCTCTTCCCACCCTCCCCCCCGCCCCAGTTCCAGGCTCTCCAGCTTATCCATGGACTCTGCGGGACGTTAGAGCCTGGGAGTGCGCTGCGGGGCCGGGCGAGAGGATGCGCAAGGTGGAGAGCCGCGGGGAAGGGGGGAGAGAGGTAAAGGCTGAAGGTGTCCCGGGGAGCCCCGGCGGGCGGGCCACCAAGGGAGGGAGAGGTGGTCAGGGCCAAGGAATGGGGCCTCTTGGCTCCCTGTTAACGCCCGTGGAAGAAATCTGCTGCGCTCCTGCTGTCCACTTGCCCGGTTCAAGCCCGGGCTTCCTGTAGCCGGGACGCTCGCTGGCCAAAGCGACCCGAGTAGGCAAATGACCTTTAGGCGGAGCAAGTTTTTCCTCTCCTTTCTTGTTTCTTTTGAGGAGACTGGTGTGTGTTTGTGAGGTGGGATGGTCGCGGGGGTCGATGGGGGAAGAGTGTCCCAGACATCTGTAGTCTGCTGAGTGGAACGGAGCTTGGGGAGCAGCAAGGCATTAATTATTAATGGGAGCTGGGAAGATGCTGGCTTTAGCGATTTGCTGGTTTTGGATGTGTTGTGTCTGCAGAGATGAGGTGCCCTGCGTGGGCTGAGTGTT